GTTGGAAAAGGTTCCTAAATAATATTCGTCAATCGGTCATTCGATGCTTCATCAGCCGCATTTTCTAGTTAACCATATCATATTGAATTAACTCAATGGCAAAATTATAATCCTTATTTTAACGTCGTTAAACTAGTTTGAAATAGGAATCCAAAAGCCACAATGTGAACTAGGAAATGCGGTCGATGAAGCATGGAGTGACCTATTAACAAATATTATTCAAGTGTGCTCAAAAACTCAGACAATGCATTCGACAGTTTGTACCGTAAACTCTATATTTTAGGTCAAAAATATCATTCGCAACTATTTTGTAGTTGGTAGTAAGATCCATCATCTGTGGAAACGACTCCATGAAGTAGAAAAAAGTAACTATCATTGCTTGGTTTTGCTTTTCGAATCAAAATACATGAAGAAAAATAGTTAGGATTTCATAAAAATCTTACGACTGTATCTAATAAAAGGATCTGTTTTAAAAATATTAAAATATTTTTCTCACTATTTTTTGTACAAACCAATTATATAAGGTGACATCAGGTATTAAACCTTTGTTATTATGACACCATTTTGCTATCTATCATACTAAGATCTACATACCTTTTTTTTGAAAGAGCTCTATTGTATAACTTCTTTTTCCTTGTTTTTGATAGAAAATATGAAGATTAGCATGACTTTCTGCAAATCGAACAAATGATCTTTCGTAGCGACTACGATAAACTATTTTTGGATATTTACTTGAATACCTAAACATATCTTTTGATAGTATATAAATTATATCAATTTAATCTACAGGAAGAATTAGTCGAGCACAAGGAGAATTAACAATCATCCGTTCTGCTAATAGTGATATAAATACCGAAGTTCATAGTAAAATCTCACAAAAATAAATCCTCAACACTATTAAAATGTTCAAGTAATTGTCCAACACTTACGTTGATTACAAAATGTTCCAATCCACCAAAATTTGCATTGACATTCCCAATTACCATCAATATGATCTTGACAATAGCCATATTGACCACATGGGTTGTAAGTTGAACAATCTGAACATTTCATTTTATAATGAATATCTTTTTTTGTTTCAAATACTTACTTTGGCCTATGACTACTGTCATCGATATCAAGACAAGAACCGTGATCAACTCAGTTGCCTTATTCATTGTATAAGATTTCTCTGTAAGTTATTTTCTTGATACACTCACTTCTCTTGCAATGATGAATTTGCTTATAATTACAAAAAGAATTTAGTTTGATTCAAAAACTTCTGCTTGATCTTTTTTTTTATTATTTTTCCCTAGCCTACTATCAAAAGAAAAATAAGTGAGAGAGGAGGAAAAAAATTCTTTGTGAAAGCACTGCTATTCGTCATGTGTTACTTTTAGAAGAAAATGCTAAATGTTAATAAAAAACCTGAGGCTGAACATTACTTGTAACCGTCATAAGAGTTCATTACACTATATTTTTTTAATAGTAACAGGATAGAGATTCCACGGAAAACGATGTGTTCTTCTGGAAACAAAGAAAAACAACTTGCGCTTCATTGCTTACGCTCGTCAGTTTTTGTGCTACTGAATCAACACTTTTTTTTATGAGATTTAAGTAGAAGCTGAAAAGAAGATTTCTTTAATATGATAAAATGCATTGAAATAAGTTAGAATCGTTCGACATGAAGGGCTTGTCCGATAGGAAGGCCGTGTCGTAGTATGACCCCTTTTAATAATTGAAAATTCTTATTTTCTTATCAGCGAAAAAATTGGAAAGGAACCAAATAAGCTATAGAGTTAAAACTGAAATTTTTTGCTTCGCAAAAAAAAATCAACGACTATACCAACGTAGCTCATCTAAACAAATCTTCGATCTTTAGTTTTAGCCATATGTTATGACGGTTTTTACATTAAAAGAGTTTTGTTTTTGAATAATCGTCACGAGTGTAGTCGTCTTCGATAGCTAAAAATTCTCAAGAAATATTCTAAGTTGTATTTAATGACGGTTTAGTTTTTAGAAAGAATCATTATAGGAGCAGAAATCTTATTAGTGGACAAAAATCTTTTGCTTCGGTAAATAATATCAGCTGCATAAATGCAATTAGTTTATAACAATTCAAAACTGAATTCCGGAAAATTTTAAATAATTGTTCTTTCTAGAAAGTGTGTCTTTGATCAATATTCTTTGTAGGCACGCATTCGACGTTAAGAGTACCGAGACATTTTTTAAATTTCATATGTAGCTAATTTCCTTCCTAAAAAGGATACAAGGTAGAATATGTTTTTCATTTTGTAAAGGTGTTGCTGAGTCTAAAGAAAATTGATTGCAATATAAATAACCAAAAAAAAGATAACAGTAACTCAGTTGAAACAAAAATTTGGACTTGTCTTGTAATTTTGATTAGTTTAGGAAATTCCTGTGCGTCCTTCTTCTTCTTTAATTTGTTTCCTTTATGTAATAATATTACAGCTGGATCCAATTGATTCATTCATCTTTTTGTTTTTTTTTGTATTTTTATTAGCATACTTCATTTATTTTGAAACATTATAGAGAACGAGAGAGTACAAAATGAACCGCATCTTATAATGCATTCTTCTGAAGCAAAGAATAAAGTTTAAAGTATAAAAAGCTATACCAAAAAAAAACGAAACTCTTTTTTTTGTACAACTTATGTTTACATCTAAATCATAATAAAAGCAATTCATAAGTTTATCATGCTAGCTGGTTATAATATATATAAACTTTGTATGTTATATTAATTTTATGATATGCATCGTTAATTTCTTGCGTTTGAAATGAATGCAATGTTGATAATAATAATAATAACCAGAAGCCTGTTATTGCTAATTGAAGTGCACATCAATCTAAGACGGAATATATTTAGGAGTATTTTTTATTCAGATGAAACATACACATGCATTTATGAAAAGAATCTAAATGTTAAACACACGTGACAAAGGCCCATGCAATGATTTGGAATTGAATATTTTTCAAATTTTTCATAGACAAAACAGTCTTCATTTTATTTTATTATGCTAGATGGTAGAATCCTGCATAAATATAAGCTGTGAACTAATGTATGTTAATAGAAAAACAAATATGAAAAGAAATTTACTTAGCTCACACTACTTTGTAGAAAAAATAAAACATCATTTTTCTCTGATACAGTTTTTAAACTTTAAACTTAACTTATTGTTCAAGATGAATATATTATAAGATGCAGTGCATTTCGTACTTTCTCGCTCTGTATAAAATATGTTTAATAATAAATGAAGTATGCTAATAAGAACAAGCAACAAACAAAAGAAGAAGGAATCAATTGGTTTCTACTGTAATTAAACTGCATTGTATATGCAGGAAATACATAGAACAAACAACAAGAAACCTATTATTGCTGCTTTAATTACCCTATTTCGGATAAATACTATTTATACTTCCTCTTCTTCTTCTCTCGGTGACAATATTAACCGTCATCTATGTTCTCTCTTTATTATTTTTGTGTGTACATTTATTCATGTCTGTGATTTCTTTGTTTTTGGTACTCTTTGTCACGCTCATAGTATTTACTTATTACTATTTGTTTCTCGTTAGTTACCATACTTCATTTTTATTGTCCATTATTTATCGGATACAATTTTCTTCATCGTTATAGTACTTCATAACTGCTTCTTCATCTTATTCATATTTCTTTTGTTTGCTCTTCTTTCATCTTTTATTGATTATATTCTTCTTCTCCGTCTTCTTTCTGCTAGTTTATTCCATGAAGTGGTAAATCTTCATAAGCTTCCATTTTACTCTGGCACCTAGAATCATATCTCTAGTTGCATCTCGACATTTGCTCTTAATATTCGAAGAATCAGACCATCTTCTGTCGATATAATCCTTAATCTCATGTACAGTGTAAGGATGTCAGATTAGTTTTATTTCGAAATTCACCAAGAAAGTCGATTTATGATTAATCATCAGATTACAAGAACAGAAAATTGACTGGTCAGATAACGGAATTCGTTTTTATATTCATTTCTCAATAGAAGTAAAAGACGTTATAATTTTAAGTTTTTGAATAGATAACAAGCAAAATTAAGAATATTTATGAACAACTTATACATTAAATTCAACAATTAACCAAGTTGTACATGTTGTATTATCAACTTCACATTAATTCCTTTAAAATACAGAGATATATTCTGTTGTTCTAGTATAGCTTGTTAAATTGAATGAGATTTATCCATCATATATTTGGTACATATTTCAAATAAATTAGTCAGTTATGATAAGAAATATTAATATTCCTATTTCTATATTTTTCACATTTCTGTCTGCAAGTTCTTTTAAGAATATATTCTCATTCATTATGGAAATATATAATTAATGTTCTTGCGTGTTATACCCGTTAATTTATGGGCACTGGTTTTTGTGTAACACTTAAAACATTGGGAAAAACCATGTTTTTCTTTGAAAACCTTAAAACAATCTCAGCTTTTCTCTAGAAATTCTCAACATCGTTTCAATCTTTATAGGACACGGATAGTCTTGATTTCACGTGGTATAGGAATAAGTCTATATAATTTATTAATTTTTTATATTGCTACTATTTATATAATAATTCAAAATGTTGACTTGATTCTTCAATATGTTTTACAATAAATAGCTGATAATCGACGGTTAAATACTATCAAGAAAAAAAAAACAATTGTTTTGATCACTAAACAAACATGAAGGTCAAGAATTTGATTTCAATTCATTGAATATCACTATAAGATAAACAACAATGTTTGATATAAGATATTTTATATCAGAGGTTATTGCAATTAACATCTTCTTTCTTGTGAAATCGAAAAAGTGATCAAAATATAAATGATCGCGCGTGTAACATATGTGTAATAGATGGCGCTTATTACACTGTAATGGAGGTGATTGTTTAGCAACATAATTTGCCTTTACTAGCACATGAAGAATAAAATTTGAAAACATCTAAGCTTATCTACTCTATAATAAAATAGTTCCTACCATCACCAATGGCTACAATGACTGCGACCAACGTACGTGATGTCGGTCCAAAAGATGTACAAACACGTAATAATGCATCAACAAGAATAGATTTAGCAAATATTGCCGATGTTCCTTATTATGTTGAAAGTAATTCGATCTCTATTATTTGTTATACTTTCATAAAACAAATTTTGTTTCTTTTTTTTTTGTTTTTGATAGAACGATATGTTCGTGCAGTTGATAATGGTGATGAATTTCAATATGAAGAAGTACCTGTTGAAGAATTTTATGATGATGGTATGTTGTTGTTGTTGTTGTTGTTCTTTTTGTATAAGAATATTTTTCTTTTTCGTTCAAATTCATTCTAGATAAAGAAGATACGCTCGATGCACTTATTCGTAATGTAAAAGATCAGCAACGTGAATCACAAGTTATAACAACATCAGTATGTGTTTATTTTTCATTAGTGTTATATGAGAACAACTCCATTTTTCTATTTCTATAGACTTCTGCTGCAGCTCCTCGTGGTACATTAACTACTCAACCAGAAGCTGTTGATGACTTCGTTCGTAATTTTCTTGTTCGTATGGGTATGAAAAAAACAATGCAACAATTTCAAATAGAATGGCATAACTTATCATCTTCGGGACGTATTAAAACAAATGAATGTGGTTATTTACCAGATGTAGTTAAACATAATGAAGAATTAAGTGAAAAAATGAAATTACTTGAATCAGAAGTTGATCGATATCGAAAATCAGCCGAGTAAATCATCAAAAGAATATATTTATTTTGATTTCTTTTTCTTTTTTTTTCATAGAAAAGCTCGAGAAGAATTTGTTAAAATGAAAAAAGAACGTGATTATCATCGACAACATCATAATCGTATTGCTCAAGAAAAAAATAATCTTGTTACATTTGTTAAACGGTATTTAACAAAGAAAGATTTTTGCAATTTAGCAAATTCTTTTTTTTTTATGTTATTAGATTAAAATCTCATCTATCAACATTTGAACCACAACTAGATGAATTAAAATCTAAATATGATGGAGCAATGCGTGAAAAAATGGTTTATAAATTAGAAAAAGAAAAATTACAAAATGAATTAAATGCATTAAAATTGGGTACTTCGACTGCATTACAAAGTAAAGAAATACATATAAAAAAAGAAAGAAAAAAGTTAAAGTTTATTGGATTTTTTTTTATTTTCTAGATACTACAGAAGGAGAACTAGGACCAACACAAACTAAACTTCGAGAATTAAGACATAAAGAAGAAAAGAAAAAACAAGCAGTAACAACTGAACAACAACGATTAAGTGGTTCAACTGAATTAACAAATGAATCACATCCACGAGTTTGTAAATTTTTATTATTTAATTGTTTTTAGTATTCTGAATATATAGGATTCTGAATTTCCTGTTGATACAGGAAATAATCCATATTTAAATCGATTTGCTGAAGATGCTTTTCATCGATCAACATTAACATTAGCAAAAGAAATTGAAGCACATGAAGGTCCTATAAGTTGGTAAGTGAAACAAAACAATATTTAATCAAAGCAAAAGCGATTAGAATACATAGAAAATTCCTTCAAGATTTCCTGATGATAAGCAAAAAAGATAAATACTCAAAACACAAGATATTTTAACAAGAATAGAGTTAAACTATTGAAGTATAATATTGAATAACAGCAAGTTAGATGCAGAGGAAGAAATTCGATAGTAAGTTACTCAAAGATTATGTAAAAGTCAAATAGATACTTATGACTTTTTTCGTTTTGCTATAAGGTACAGCTATCGCTCGAGGACGTGCCTAAGGATGTAGATGTTACCGCATATTGATCTATCACAACAATTTCTTAAACTAATTTTACCGATAGTCTATAGAATAAAGGCGTATACAAACGAGAGAATGTTTCTAAGTGTTAGACTACTTTTGAATTGGAGCTATGTGTATCATGTAGGTTCTAATGAGTTATGAATACTCTAAAATAGAGTTCGGACTAATAAATTATTGCTGTCGAGATACTGTATTTTTTTAGCAGAATATCGTTGTTGCCTCAAGAACACCACAGAAACCTGCGCTACGAATTTCAACTGGCAACTTTGCATAGAGACAGGCCTTAACGAGAATAGCCTATTATGAAGGTTTCAAAGTTTTTGATTGCGCCTATTCTGAAATAAGAATATCGGAATTAGCCGTTATAGTCGAACGGTGTGACAGACATGCTTTTACCATAGATGGATGCAATCAAAGTTTTGTTTTGCCGGTGTTCCTGAGGGAAATCGCGGTATTCTGCTAAAAAAAATACCTCGGCAATAATAAGCTATTAGTACGAACTCGTTTTTTTAGTGTATTCATAGCTTATTAGAATTTACATGATGCATATAGTCCCGACTTAAAAGCAATTTGACACTTAGGAACAATCCGTCTGAAGTTGAGAGTCTTATCTAGCAATAGTCGATGTTTTGAATATAATCACAAAGAGTTTCTATTGAGTTAAATTTTTTGACATTGTTTGTAATTTAACTGGTGACTTAATTACAATACCTGATGGTTATATCCTAAATAGCGAGTCTTCCTGGAGAAAATGCTCAATTGGATATTTTTTTTGATCGAAAAAAAAGCTTGGAAGACCAAAATTCTACCTTAGACGCGAAAATCTTTTGCTTCATCTAATTGAGAAAAAGCGAAAATTCTGTTCTTCACCGTACTCCAAGGATATGTAAAAGCTATCCTTTAAAACTTTTTAACTTTTTCAAGTTTTCTATCAAGGAAATCTTGGAGCGCGATGAAGTATTTGGAGTTTATCGTCAGATAGACTTATGCAAAATGAACTTAAACCGATATGCTCGTGACACATGTCGATAGTACGCTTGAAATAGCTAAGAAGTTCTAAGGTATAGCTTTGACACACTCTTGGAGTACGATGAAGTACGGATACGGAGTTTTCGCTTTTGCTCCCTTGCAAAATTGAAGTTGGAAAATAAATTATTCTATAAATTGTTTTTTTTAAATATCAATTAATTTGTCTACATTTTGATCAAATTCATATTTTTCTAGTGCCGCTATTCATCCTCGTAAACATGTTGCTGTAACAGTATGTATAAATAAAGTATAGTTTATTTGCATTATTCATTTTTCTTTAATTAGGTAAGTGATGATCGATCATGGAAAATGTGGGCTATTCCCGAAGGTAAAAATAATTTTTTTTTTATTTTGATATAAATAATTTCATTTTTTTTGTATTTAGGTGATATGATTATGAAAGGTGAAGGTCATTCAGATTGGGTGTAAGTGTCTATTTAATAAATTATTTTATTATTTTCTAAATAAATATTATTTGTAAAGATCTGGTATTGATTTTCATCCAAGTGGAAATAAAATGGCAACATGTTCTGGTGATACATCAATTAAAATTTGGGATTTTTCACAAAAAAAATGTATTCATACATTTACAAATCATCTTTTACCAGGTAAATTCAACTTGAAAATATTTTTAAGCAAAAAGAATAGTTAAAATTTTTTTCCGTTCTAGTTTGGTCTGTTCATTTTCATTCATGTGGAGATTTTATTGCTTCGGCTTCTCAAGATAAAACTGTTCGTTTATGGGATTTAAATAGGTTTGTTGAATTTCAAATACTATTAACAAAAAAAAAAGATAAAAGTTGAATTTTTTTTAGTCTTCGTTGTCGAACAGTTATGCGTGGACATCAAGATTCAGTTCATTCAGCTGAATTATTAATGTTTTCTAATATAATTCTATCTAGCTCAGTTGATAAAAGTCTTATGTTATGGGATGCTCGAACGGTAGAAAAAAAAACGAAATGCTAATTAGTTTATTTATTTTAAAAATGATTTTCTTAGGGTTTAGCAGAGCATACATTTGTTGGTCATGTTAATCCATGTAATCAAGCAACATTTAATTTACGAGTACATTTTTCTTTGAAAGAATAAACTTTACTATACAAAAATATTTTCTTTTTTGTATCTTCTAGGGTGACACAATTGCATCTTGTGATTCAAAAGGAATTGTTAAATTATGGGATGTACGAACAATAAAAAGTATGGTTACACTTGATCTTGGACCTTATTCAGCGAATAGTGTTTCATTTCATCCAGCTGGTAGAAAAAAAAAGAATGTTTTTTTTTTAGAAAATAATATTAATAAAATTTTCTTTTTGAAGGCCAACTGTTAACAGCAGCTTCTAGTGATCGAACAATTAAACTTTATAATATAGGCACTGAACAGGTAAAATTATATTTGGTTTTCTTTTAACTTTAAAATTATTAAAATTTATTTTTTTTAAGTTAATACCATTAAGTAGTCATCATGATGAAGTTCAATATGTTAAATTCGACCTGAAAGGACAATATATGGTTTCAACTGGTCGTGATCGAACCCTACGTGTTTGGTCGTAACTTTGTAGAATTCTATTTTATTTTCTTTTCTTTTTATATGAATATATACAAACATTTATTTGAATTTTTTTTCCTACACCTATTAATTGAATTAAAGGAAAATGTTTTTTTTTCTCATTTGAAAAATAAAGATTTTCGTTTCAATTTGAATTTCATGTCGAAAAATTTAAATAGAGGGCGAAGTCGAAATGCAGCAAAAACCTCTTGCAGTTAGAGTTTGATGGTTTCAAAAAAAAATTGGAACCAAGAACCGAAGTAGAATCGACTTTCTTGAATGTCTTGTCAATCGAAATCGTTAAATCATCCAATAGATACAAAAATTCTTAAATCTATGTTATATGTGAGGTCTTTAAATCTCAATAATGTTATGGTGACAATTTCTCAAAATATATTTATATTTTTCATATCTATCATGGCTTCAGCTCCACGTGATATTTAGGAAACCGGAATCGCTTTTTTTCTCATTTTCAATAATCGGAACTACGGTTACGGTTCCAAGTGATTTTTGAAATCACTGAACTCTATTTGCAATGAATACCCTGCCATGCCGAACACTCTCCGGTCCACCAGAGCGAATTTTGCTAGTCTTGTACCCTCGATTCTGCATGTGAACATCAGTCGAAGGCGCTACTTGAACAAATTATATAATTGGAGTTGTGATGGTGATTATCAAAAAAAAAAGAATGGGCAAGCAGATATCGTTATCTTTTTGAACAACTTCGTAATCATTGCCTATCAGCTATGACATCTTGCAATGCTCTTAATTTAGAGTACAAACACGAATTTAGTCAAAGATAAAGAACTTGTTTTATCTCTTCGTGAATTAAGAGATATATTTGAAGTGTCTATCGGTGTTGTGTCAAGTATTCTTAAAAGACAAATGAATATATATTACTGTTTATGAAACTAATCTAAACAAAATGGTGAAGCACTAAGTGAATCCCGATTTTAGTCAAAACCATCAACGATAGTGTTAAAACCTGATTAAGCAGGATCTGGACGTGATATTCGAAATTCATCTAGTTAAAAAATTTAAAGCACTAAAAATAAAAAACTATTTAATAAGATAATAAAAAGCACTTAAACGGAGACAGAAAGTGACAAAAACTAATATTTTGTTTATATTTGCTTGATCACTTCCTTTATGAATACTCTGCTATACTGAACGATTTTCGTCGATCCCGACGGTATTCACAATATAGAAGTTTTACTGTATTTGTTGTTTTCTGACTTAGTATATCATGTTAATAATAGAATTTTACTTTATTTATTATAAAGATAACTCAGCCATCAAAGGCTTCATACAGTAATTCTATTATATTGACGATCATTCAATACTTTTATCACAATAAGATACAAGTTGATGACCGAATCACATATGCAATGGTTTTTATTAAAAGTGGTGACCACGACAGCACAATACATAAATGGACGAATGTTTCTGTTTTGTTGTAATATACAATGACATATCCAAGGATACGGGAATATATCTAGATGTCACAACTCTCTCTCGTTCTATTTTTATCTGTTTGTGTTCAACAAAGAGAGAGAGAGAGAGAGATAAACATAGAATTTTATCGTTCGTTCATTGTCACCTATTCGACGATAACTATCCTATAAATAGTGTTGTTGATCGACAATTTCACTTACAACTCTTGTTTTTCAACCATAAAGATGAATGTAGGCAAATATTGTCATATTTTTTGTTTTTTTTTCAATTATATATGTGAATATATTATAGTCGTTTCTGCTCATATTCGGCTTGGTTGCTTTATCAAACGTAGCTATTGCCGAAAAGTACGTTTTGTGTCTATTGATTTATGTAGCTTTACTGGAAATATATTATTTTTTCTAGTTCGTATCTCATTATCGTACCTAAATTGCTCAAAGTTGGCTATGACAATCAACTTTCAATTTTCATTGCGGCTGCTTCGGAACCAGTAGAAGTTAAATTTAATTTAACCTTAGGTCAAAAATATATTCAAAGCACAATCACAGTAAAATCAGGTATGTCTTCTTGTATTAAATATCGCGTTTAAAAAAAAAACATATTTGATATAGGTGAAACACGCAATGCTACATTGACTCTACCTTTTGAGTTTCCTACTGGTGTTGGTGAATTGACTATTGTTGGAAGTGGTGGTATTCGTTTTAAAGATAAACGAGATATCATTGTTTATGACAATCGTTATGTTGTTCTGGTTCAAACATCGGCATCTACCTATCATCCAGGTGATATCATGGAAATTCGTGTTGTTGCAACAAATGAAGAACTCATGCCAATAGAAAATGGTGAAGTTCTTATTGAAGTTTATGTATGCCTTTATTTTCTTTTTCTTTGAAATCACAAATATATATTTCTCATTGTAGGATGCTAATTTTAAACGTGTTGGTGAATTTGCAACCATTCCCATTCATTCGGGTAAATTATTTTGTTTAAATATTTTGTTTTCAAAATTTGATTTGATTTTATTTAGGTATTACCGAAACTTTTAAATTTTCAATTGGCACACAATGTAATACTGGTACATGGCTTGTTTCAGCTACTATTGGCAATACAACATCATCTGTTGAAGTACTTGTTGCTCGACCAGTTACACCATCATTTGATGTTAAAGCTATATTTCAACGATTTCTTCTTCGTACAGATAAAACTCTTCGTGGTATTATTGAAATGCATAGTGATAATAATATGCCAATTTTTGGTCGTGTTATAATGGCTGTTGGTCAAATTACTGAACAAGACATGAAAATGATGAACGGACAACAAAATTTATTTCCACAACAAGGACAACAAATTTTATTTCCACAACAAGGACAACAAAATTTATTTCCACAACAAGGACAAACAACTGAAGAATGGAGAACATGGAAATCACGACAATTTGAAATAGCTGGTCGTGTTGAAATCAATTATGATCTTTTATCATTATTTAATATTGATGTTACTAAAGCTGTTGCTATTAGAGTTTATATTCAAGTCGCTAATCTTGTTTCTGATCAAGAACGTATAATTGAACATGTTATTCCTGTATTTATACATAATGTTATTTATGATATTCATCCACTTCATTTTGAAACTGGTATGAAAAATGAATTTAAAATTATTGCCAAACGTCCTGATGGTAAACCAGCTAAAATGGAAAACTTAATTGTTACTGTTTCAATGATGATGAGTAATGAACAAGGAAAAGTACAAGAAGAAAAATCAGTTGACATTAAAGATTTTTATACACGGTATGTATAATTTTAAATAGCTTAAAAGAAAAAACTTCTTTCTTTTAGTGGTCGTAATGATATTGGTTTATTCAATATAGAACTTCCAGATAATTGTATTGGTGTTCTTATGACAGTATATTTTCTTGTTTTTGTTTATTTTTAATTTTCTATTTTATGTCAATAGATAACACCATTAAGTGAAGATGGTAATAAACGTGGTTATCGTACTCATGCTGTTCCACTTATGCCAACACCTCGACGTGGTACTAGTGGTGCTAAATTATCAATTGAATTATTACCAACAACTACAAGCAAAGTTCAAATTGATGCTAATGTTCCAGTTGTTAGTTCACAAATTTCAACTGTTGGTCATACATCAAAATTTTATATTCAATTGACTCCATCGAAAGCAGTTAAAAAATTTGAACCATTACCAATGTCATATGTACTTTTAACAAATGGTCGTATTACACATACTGGTGAATTTATTATTCAACCAACAAATGAATGTCAATCAAGAAGTCAACGTTCTATTATATCAGAAGAACAAGTACGATCAACTTGTGTATTTAATGGTACTTTATCAATTGAAATTACACGTGATATGATGCCATATTCATCATTACTTGTATATACATTTCAACCATCATTTGGCTTCAATGTTGCTGAATCATATCGATTTTCAGTTGCTGGACTTTTTCAAAATACATTACAATTAAAAGCAGGCATTGTTCCATTTATATCAACTAATACAATGATTACAGATGAAGATAATGGTTCTACTAAAGATCTTGATTCATTAGAACATGTTGTTTTCGAACCAGTATCAATTTCAAATCGAGCTCAAGGTAAATCACGTATTGAACTATCACTTAGTGGTCCCCCAAATTCAATCGTCGGTGTTAATGTTATTGAATATGATAGTGTTATACAAGGTTTACCAAATGAAATTACTAAAGAACGTTTACTTCAATATTTAACAACTTATGAGCAAGTACCTATTGTTGGTATGCCAACGATTCGAACACTAGCAGATGAACAAATTGATTCTCATACACACGAAGTTGATACAACAGATGGAAATGAAGTTCAATATTTAGCAACAACAATGAGACGGGATGATAAAGAACATCAAACACAAGACATGGAGAGTACAACATCATCTTATAATATGAATGATGAAGTAACAGACGAGATGGATTTAGAAAGTCAAACTATGCATTTACTTGAAGGTTTCGATTCTGAAATGTTAATAAAAAAACCAAGTAAAACATTAAATAAAAGAGCTATTATTAGCGAAGAAGAAGAAGAAAACAATATTCATCGTGAACGTTTAGTCAGTTGAATTATTATTTAAAATTTTTTTTTTAATGTTTAATTTGAACTTTTCTTTTTTGTAGGGATTTAAAATTCGTTATCCAATTGAAAAGTTAATATTTGGTAGTAGTTCATCTCGTAGTTTAAGACCAATTGATGGTGATGATGTTTATACAACAACAAATATGGAACGATTATATGGTGACATAAATAGTCGAAGATTACACTCACATTATCATCGTCGAACAGTGAAATCATTAAATCAATATGATACTATGGTTAATGATAATGATTATGTTGTTACAGCAAGTATTCCATTGGTAACGAACTCTAATGTTGAAGTGAATCAACAAAATGAACCAGAAGAACCAGATGTTCAAAGTCTAAGATATGGTACACCATCATGGTATGAAAAAATTAATTTAAAATTATCATTAATTTCACAAGAAGCATTAATATTTATGCAATCAGCATTAATAATTGTTTCTGATTTTTCATCATTATATATTCCACCTGATATATCACGATCAAATTTAACTAAATTATTTTCAAAATATCGTGAACAATTAATAATCAGTAGTGATTCTGAACCATTTGATATTCGTGATGAAGCTCGTCAATTACTTGAAGAATATTTTGTAGAATCTGATTTATCGATGATTCCACCACAAATTACACTTGAAGAACAAGCTCGTATTGGTTACTATCGTTCAATCTTTTTTCATACAACTCGTATTGAATCTCAAGGTACTGGAAAAGTTCTTCTTCCACGAAGTAAACCATATGCAACATGGCTTGCTACGGGATTTGCACTTAACTCCAAAACAGGTTTATCTGTTGCTCAACCAATTCGTCTTCCAACAAATTATGGTCTTTTCATTTTTGGTAATTTTCCTGATCAAGTTCAAACTGATGAACAAGCACTCTTAACATATGGTATTAATAATTATCTTGATAAAGATTTAACTAACGTTGTTGTACGTATTCGAACTTCAACTGATTTTCATATTATTGAACAAGATGAAGAAGAAAATGTTAGATCAAGCACTGGTCAAGATTATACAATTACATTTCCATCTATTAAATCATTAGGTGTTGAAACACATGATATTATTTTGATACCAAAATATGCTGGTGTTGTTAAGATTATACTTGAAGTTGAATCGGAATTCGGTGGTGATTATGAAATTTTAACAACTTATGTACGTGAATCAGATATTGAACGTAAACAAATTACAACACATTTATATGATTTAACAAATGAAAACAAAACCTATGGTCCAATTGTTGAAAATGTCACTACATCAACATTTCTTCGATCAGTTCAAATTGCTGTTTCAGGTAAATTTTAAAAATATTCTTTTAAGTTTAATCTTTTTTCTCCAAATTTAGGTACTGGTCTTGATCATCTTGTTAAACAAAACACAATGGAAATAAATTCATTAATTGGTATTGATCGTGCAATTGTTCATCTATGGCGTTTACTCGGTCTTTATCGTTATTTTCATGAAACATCACAAATGGAATCAACACTTTTAGATGCAACAATGAGAAGTATTACAATAGCTTATCAAAATCTTCAATTTTATAATAATTATAATGGTTCATATTCATTTATTTCTAATCAAGATGAACAAAAATCATCACTTTATTTAACATCATTAGCTTTTGGTGCTTTAATTTCACCATTTATAACTGTTCATGATAATGTTGCAATTAATCGTACTTTAACATGGATTTTATCTCATCAACAAAATGATGGTTCATTTGATGATCAAGGTTCATGTTTTCATTATCGAATTTGTTCAGGTAAATTTCATCGTGAATCATTAACAGCTATTGTTTTATATACAATGACATATAATAATGTATCACAATATGGACCTGAATTTGTTCATCGTCGATTATATAACGGTGAACAAAGTCCAATAGTACGTGCTCAACATTTTTTAGAATCACGTCTTGATGCTGTTAAATCATGTTTATTAACGACAACATTAATTGAATTAGCTCTTGTTCAATGTCAATCATTATCGAAACAATTCAAAGAAAAAATTTATGAAAATGTTCGTAACCGTCAATTAACTGTTTTACCTGAAGATGGTTCAAAATTTTTAAAAACTGTTAATGAAAATATAACATTTGATGATCAATTATTAATTAATGCATTAACACTTTCAATTTATGCTAATTATAATGATTGGAAAACAACACTTGACATTGCTCGTTGGATGGTTGAACAAATAGAAATTCATCCATGTTGTAGCACAGTTTTAGATGATATTTTTTATATTGAAGCTTGGCTTAAAACTGCTTATCTTTTTCATCAATATGTAGGATCAGAAAATTTCTCAGTTCTAATTAATGTTACAGCTGATAATGGACAACACAAAGAATTTAATATTAATTCATCTAATATGGATATTACACAAAAACTTAGTTTTAGTCTACCAGTTAATCAAATTACTTATACAGTTAGTGGTTTTGGTATTGCTAGTGTTAACATTGAACAAATATATATGGAAAAAGAACAACAAACAGTTCAACCAGTTTCATTTCAATTAACTAATGAATATTTACCATTATCATTGTTAAATGAAATTACAGCTCGAACATGTCTAATTTATACACCAACATCTAATGATCAAAAATTAGCTAAAGATATTTCTAATCGTACTATTATTGTTGAAATTCAAATTCCATCAGGTAAATTCATTATTAGAAAAAATTTTTTTAAATTTAGAGTTAAATTTCAATTTTTATTTAGGTGTACGTGTAAATCTTCGTCAAATAGGATTCTTCTTAAGTCGAGTTCCAGAAGCTATGTATTTTACATTTAATGAACGTACTAATAAAATAAATTTCTTCTTTAATATTCCATCAGCTGTATATGGTAAACAAATTTGTTTTAATTGGCGTCTTGAACGTTTATCTATTATTGTATCATGGACTCCAATTCAAATACGTGCTTATGATTATCTTCAACCAGAATCACAATTAATTCGTCTTTTTCCAGTAGAAATTGAATCAAGTTTTTTTGGATATTCATCATGGAAAATTTTCATGAAGCTCCATCAAAACTTGAACAATTAACAAATAGAAGAATAATGAAAATTAACGTATGCTACATATAAACCAATGTTCAAAATGACTCGAATGATTTTGCGTCTTATCATCTAATATGGAGAATCAATCTTTTTTTCATTTTACAAATTAATATCTCCTTTTTTTTTGGACTATATCCTTTCCAATCTCATGAGGAAAGTCTTGGAGTTGTTTAATCACACTTAAGCTGGAACTATGCACATCATGTAGATCCTACTGAATTATGAATACCCTGAAAAGAGTTCGAGTTCATAGCTTATTGTTGCCGATATACCACATTCTTACGATATTTTTAAATACAATGCCAGAACTTTCCGCAAGAAAACTGGTTTTTGGAATTTCAACTTAATACTTTGCATAGAAATAAGCCTTAACAACAATAGTTTATTATGAAATTTTCAAATGTTTTCGTTGTTTCTATCCTAGGATACAACTATGATAAAAGTACATCTTTCACATGGCAACCACACCCTTTGTTGGTTCGATGTTCTTATTTCGAGACGAGAACAAATTCAAATGATCTGACACTGCCATAATTAGCTACTCTCGTTGAGTCTTGTTTTTAGTTGAAATTCGAAAATTGATTTTTCTGAGGAGAATCACGACATCATATTTAAAAAATACCATAATAATGTAATATGCCGGCAATAATAAGCTATGTGTCTGAACTCTTTTCAGGATATTTGTAACCCATTAGAATCTACTTGATGTACATGCTTCTAGCTCAAATACGACTAATCAATTGTAGGATTTCCCTTGTCAGTCAATCGTTTCTCTTCTATTTCATTCGTCTACGCCCATGTATATGTTTTTCCATTTGTTTTCGTCTTTGTCTTCATGTACAATATCCGATGCTTTTCGTTCCTTGTGTACATATGATTATGTGAATTGTATGTCTTTTCCTTGTCTGATGTATAATAATTTTTTTCTTTCTCACAGTTGCTGTTAAGATTAGATTAGACTAAAAATAGATGATTAAACATATTTCTCCATCTCAAATATATATGAATATTAAAAAAACAATTAAAACTGATAAATAATACAAGAAAATATTCTACTAATGAGTGTTCTATAATGAATGGCCGTTTTTTGTATCTCTTTTTTAAAATTATCTATGCATTCAATTTTCAGCGCTGCGACAAGCGGTCGCATAAAATTTTGTTTTGTTTTGAAAACAAAAAATATATAATTAAAATCAACTTTATTTTATAAAGTGTAGAGCTTTTCACGCTGGATCTTATGATATATTTTGTGTTTAAAATAAAAGTACTAGAAGATAGAAAAATCGGCCATTCATTATGGAACATCCGTTATAATTTTATTTTGGTTAATTAACGCTAAAAAAAAATTCTTTTTATTGAATAAACAAGATGGAAACAAAAGGAATTATTTTATTTACAAATTAATTATTTTAATCAAGATAAAGATCAAAATCAATACGTTTTATAGAATAAAATTGTTCAGTACCAACACGACGACAACGAACTTTATCTTTATCTAATTTTCCTTCGATGTTTGTTAAACGAATCATTTGTTCAGTTGTAAATGGACCTTGAATAGTACTATTGTTATCGGTTGTATATTCCCAAAGAGTAGTCGATGAATCTATATTTTAAAAATCAAAAATAAATGAGATAAGATACAAACAAAACAAAAAAATACTATCTACCGTTTTTATTATTTGATAAAGTTGAGCTTGTAATTGATGCAGTAATATCACTGTCACCATACATATCAAATGTTGGATTATTAGTTGAACTAGAAGCAGATGATTGTAACTGATCAAGTTTTTTTTTAAGTTGTTCATAAGTTTCTTGATAAATATCAAGTTGACCATTCGATACAAATTGATCGGCAAGACCAGTCATTTCTTCAAGTAAAAGTTTATTTTTTTTTAATTCTTCTGATGTTAATTCAACAGGTGATGCAGTTGGAATTTCACCGGGCAATGGTTTTCGTTGTTTTATACGTTGTTTAGATTTATTACTGAACAAAAAAAAAACAAAGCAATTTGATAAAATATTAAAACAATATTTCTTTGAAGAAAAATTTTTACCTTGTGGCAGCTGCTCCAAGTCGTTTTATTGCACGAACAACAGTTTCATTAGGTTGCATAATTGCAAGTATAGATTTTAGAGTATTAGCTTCATTAAATTGATTATCACTTGTTTCATCATCATCATCTTCATCATTATTTGATGAATTCATTTTTGATGGATCATCAGGATTTTCTTCAGTTGTTTGAGAGTTTTTTAATTTATAATTTTTTACATTAGTCCAGTCGATTTCATCAAGCCATGCATCATGAACTTCGTCTTTCTATAAATGAAAATCATCAAATAACAAACTCATTTGATCGATAATCAATACAAAAAAAAAACAAACAGATATCCATTGAAGAAATTTTTGATACTTTGTTATAAATAACAAAAATATATAAAAGACATCTAACTGTCTGCGCTAGAATTAAAGATAGATGGGTGTAAGCTCAATAACTCGACAACAGTAACAGCTAATGACAGAGATGAAACCGGTACCAGTGTGTCTTATTGACTTTTTTGCTTTTATTATCTCATAGAGGATATATAATGAAATTTTGTTGGAAGTTAACTACATCAAATATCATTATCCACAGATGGAATAGTATGACAACTCATCAGTTCAGTGTCGGTATAGATTTCAGACAGGCCGATTCGATCTACTCGGACTGATACCGGTCGTGAAAAATCCAGACCGGTTCCATCTCGGGCTCATGACCTGCGATTTTCAGCAATCGAAAGGGAACTCCGAAGGTTTTTTTTGTCTGATACTGTATAAGACAAAATTTCTTTAAAATCCATCATCTTCGCGAAACACTCAATAAACTGCATGAAAATAGTGTCCCTGTTCGATGTAATTTTGATTTTGACATGTACTTCAAATCTATAGTTCAAGGCGAGATCCAGATGATTATCTACTTACATCTCAATGTGAAGCAAACAAAATCGCACAGATATTCAGTCAAATTCTATAGAATTCTTGACTGTAACCAAATATTCTGACTTTTTATCGAAGTTTCTTTGAAATGGAACACTGTTAAATATTTCGCAACGATGATAGATTTTACTGGACTTTTAATATCGTAAAAATCTCTTTGGTCTTCTAAAAAACCGTTTTAGATGAAATCATATAAAATAAGACACAATAGGAAACTCAGTATCTTCTATTACAGGCCAGAGGAGATAGTCCACTTGGAGTATTCTTGACAATTGTACTTGACTGTATTAATAGAATACTCAAGGAATGTGTAAACTATTCAATATGTCTAAAAATTACTTCGATTATAATTCTTCATGATTATATTTAAACTATCAAACTGTACTACAATAGAGTATTCAACTCAAGAAAACTCAATCTGTTTAATTGATCTATTCAGTCGATTAGATTTGTTCTTGACTTATTTGTTACTCATACGAAAAACTTTTTTATTATAGAAACAAACACTTAACCAAAACTAGCAATAGAATTTCTCTTCTGAAAACAATGATTTCAATTGTTATCTATTTCTAAACCAAAAAACAAACATAAATATTAAAATTTTACATACATCTTTTTTTCTCCATTGAAAACATCCACTTTCATCATAATGTCCTTCTTCCATTTCTTCTTCAATATTAAATGGTGTAATTTTAACTTCATCATCAAAACCAATTGTGGCTTTTTCTTGTCCAATTTCTAGATACACAAAAAATAAATAAATATTACGTTTATATTTTTTTTGGAATAGCGATTATTTTCTTTAACTCACCATCAAGATCATCTTGATTCATTGTTTTAGCATTATCTTGTTCATCATCATCTTCATCACTGTCTAATGTATATTTTCCACTATGTAAACGTGTATTTTCACTTTCATTTGGTAATTTCTTTTGTTTTTTACTTGTTTGATCTGTTTCAATATCAGTAGTAGAAACTATTTTACGTTTTCGTTCCATATTTATCTAGAATAACACAATCAAAAAAGAACAAAAAAGATTTTGTAGTTTATTTTCTACATAAAAAACATGAAATATATATATATATATATGTATTTATTTAACGTTTTTTAAATCCAAACTTCTTTCTTTCATAAAACAAATCTGTTTTAGCACTTCCTAAATTAACAATTTTTGGACAACCATCACGATCTTTTTCCGTAATTGTACATTCTCGACAATAATATGCATCTGAACAACCAGGACCACCACATATAACACAACGACCTTGATATGAACCATAATTACATTCATCACATATTCGTACAAGTGTTGTCGGACGTACATATGAATCACAAATAACACAACGACCATCACATTTTTCACATAGACGACCGATTGCAACACCAGCTTGTTTACGACAAAATATTAAATCTGGATGATGTTTTGCCATTTTGATTATTGAGATTTTCTCTTATCTCATTGATGTTCACGTCGTTTTTCGTTTACACTACTTCTCTAGATCAGTGACACCTGCACCTAATTGGTCATATACATAAAGCGAGAAGGAGCCAAAGAATGGAGATGTATTTATTTATTGGTTTTCAGTTAATAAGTATAAGGGAAACGAAAGATGGCGTGAGCTAACACTGTAAATTAGATCAAAAGAACAACGATTCAGAAAAGAGCACTATCCAATTACGTAGATACCTAACGAACTTAAGACTAATATAATCTATTTAGATATTGTTTTCTCGGTTTTTTTTCTTTTGAATATCAACAACTATATGAATTTAGTTTTTTTAGATATGTTTTTTCTGTATGAATTTTCTTTTTCAAATAATAGTTGTGAATATTTATAAGTACTACTTTTTCAATTTTCCGATCTCAATAGTACAACAAATAATACACCACGCTAATGTTCAGCATGAATCAAATTTTGTAACTCGAGTTGGATACTACGTCACGTTTCCTTCTCCTTATACTTATTCACTAAAACAAAAAAAAATTTATCAGTTTTTTCTTCTTTTCTCT